TCTTACAATAAATAAGAAATTCTTTATTAACATGAGCGCATTAGTACAGAAAATAAGTTATTACACAATAACATACATATATCTCACAATCCACAGCTCGTATGTTTCCTTTCCATTTGATTCTACTTACAACGTTTGGTTTCCCGTCAATATAGTTTTACTGCGTTATAATGCCGCGTGATTAACCGAATTGGTTTCTAGTGAATATTTCTTGGGAATAAACAATTCATTGGACGAATTACATCCATGGAAATGATCGGTTGTTAAATGCTAGAACAAGTCAAAGTTTCTGTGAATGATATATTTATGACCCAGGGTCTTATTAGTTAAAAACATGTCCGCAGATGTACTGGTTCTCAACGAATTCAAACGAAGCATAACTAGATGTTACCAGAATATTGTCCTAAAATATTCATGGATCACCACTATGTCGGTGGTGCCACGCAAATACCCAGAATCAAATGAAAGTGAAACGTAGAACTCCACATGGTCTAGCCGAACCTAACCACATATATGTTTAAATTTCTATTTATTGTAGGACGTTTCGGCATTTTTTTTTTTTTTAGTTCAAGTGACAACTCTGGTGTCAATATGTTTTGTTTGTCTTCCAGATAAAATTTTGTTTGTTTTTCCCCTCTTCACATTCCTATAAAGTGTTATTACAACTCTAAACGGTCCTGCTGAGATCGTTCAAGGTCACCATTGCTATTTTGATATGGAACCACATAAAACCAGCAAAGCCGAGGACGGACTGGTGTATGCATTCCCGTTGTTAAAAGGACGTCCAGCCTCCCAAAGCGAAAAGGGAACAATTGTCGCAACACACCATCTAATTGTTATGCAATATTCGACTAAAGTGCTGCATGTGCATTGTTTATGGATTTAAAATGCGAGATATAGTACTTCGACATCAAAAGGGAACTACGTTGTTTGTCTTGTGAGGAAACAATACAAGACACGACAGTTTGACCTTGACATTGCGAAGTAAAACATCTGCGCATTCGATATTCAATAACAAGTTATACGATAAAATCGTTAGTTAGGTTGGAGAATATCAATTGGATCTTTCCTTCAAGGATACTCATCCAAATTTTGTCAAAGTCTACAGAAGAAAAACAACAATTGTCTTTCTATTTCTTTTATGGACCGTGACAAATGTTCAAATTCTTTGACTAATTGATATTCTCCAACCTGACTAATGAAACTATTTTTATCCAGTTTTTTTTATCGTCTGTAGTTGAGGCTCAAATGCGCATATTACTTTTCCGTCTCAAGGTCAAACTATAGTATCTTAGACTATTTCCTCACAAGACAAACAACATGGATCCCTTTAGATTTCCAGGTACCATTTCACGTATTGTGAGCAATCATTTCACCAACTGTCAAAAAATGTGTTCGTAAATTCATATTTCTGATTCTCGGTGCGTTCATGCCTCACCATACTAACAACCAATCCATAATACATTTGACAGTGATGGGATGGTAACCATTATGGTAGATTGGCGAACTTGGCAGAAATATGACCCATATTGATCTGATTCCCGTTGTGAATTGGGGGCTGTGTGGATGTTGTTTGACTTTTAAAACAATGTAAACATTAACGATTCTCTTAGCTTCCAACTGTTAGACAGGGCCAGTCTAATCAAAATTGTAACTAATATCTCATCAAATGCCATTGGAGAGGATGGTTTCTCTATGAGAGACCTAAAGTTATGTATCCCATTTTGTACGAATGCCTTGCTGAATATAATCAACACATGTATTTTGGGGGGATTATTTCCAGTAATATGGAAGAAAGCTATTGTTAGACCCTTACCAAAAATAGCAGAACCTAAAGAATTTACAGACTTGAGACCTATTATAATATTACCCGCTACATCAAAAATTTTAGAAAGGCATATTTATAATCAAATTAGATTTTTTTGTGACACAAACGATATCATACCCGATAGTCAATCCGGTTTTAGGAAAAACTTTAGCACAAGTACATCATTAGTTAATATCTTGGATGATATCAGACATCATCAAGAAAAAAAAAATAGTACGTGCATGGTTCTTCTCGATTTTAGTAAAGCGTTCAACACTCTGAATCATGAAATGTTACTAGCTAAGTTATAGTACATTACCAGGGGTTTTCGCAGAGCTCCATAAATCTAATAAAAACATACTTAAGCAACCGTTCAAACTGTGTTATGTTAGCAAATGATTCTGCTATTTACAAAACCGATTTTAAACCTATAAAAAGAGGAGTTCCTCAAGGTTCAATTTTATCTCCTTTGCTATTTTCTATATATATATATATATATATATATATATAATCTACATATCTGACATGGTCAAATCGGTAAAATTCGCAAAGATAAAACAATATGCAGATGACTCACAAATATATCTCCCTGTCAATAAAACCACAATCCATATTGCACAACAACAACTAAATTCAGATCTCCAAAGAATTGACAGATTTGCAAAGCATCACAATCTTAAACTAAACCCCTCAAAATCGCAAGTAATGGTTATGAATAAAAACAGTACTGAAAGAGAACATTTTGAACAAAATTTAGTAATTTCTATTAACAATGACAGAATCCCCATAGTTCAGGAGACAAAAAATCTAGGCATTATATTTGATAGCTCGCTTAGCTTCGGCAGTCATATAAAAAACAACAAATTTAGCTTACATGCGACTAAAAATATAAACAAATTAAAAAAACATTTATCAGTCAAACAAAAATATTATTTGTGTAATACCTTAATTTTATCACTTTTTGACTATGGAGATGTCGTCTATGGCGATTCGCTATCGTCGCGAACCAAAAAATGCATACAAAAAGTTCAAAATAGTTGCATGAGATTTGCGTTTGGAATTCCATATCGAAACCATATCACTCCTTATCTGAATAACTACAACATATTAAACATGACGAATCGCAGAAAATATCACATGTATTCTTTTATCTATAGGGTTATAAAAACAGGTCAACCGCCCTATTTAAGAGAAAGATTTGTGCCTTTGCCTAGTCCCCAGAGAAGCAGAAGTAATCTCAATTTTATCGTACCTAGGCATAGAACGCGTTCCTTCCGACGATCGTTTGCCTATGTGGCGGTTCACTTATGGAATAATTTACCAACTTCAGTTAAAAGCTCATCGTCAAAAAACATTCTCAAAACTGACAAAAAAGTTGTTACAGAATCACCAGCTACTTTAGCAGCGTTTGTGTGACCAAAAATATCGTTTTTACATTCCTACTCGCTGACAGGTTGTATAGATTTGTTTTTCGCATCCGTTGCCAGCTCCCGGGGGTTCTTTCTTCGTTTTTGCCTTTTTTGTGTGTCACCGTCTCTTAATTTGCCTCTTTATTGTTTTTTTACTTTGTTTAAGGACTTTTAGGGTATTTAGGGCTTTCTCGCATGGACTCTTTGTATTAAAGGGTCCAATGTATCGGTTTTATAATCGAGAGACTGTCCTTTCTCGTCATTACTCTATATGTAGAATTTCTTTTGTTTATGATATTTATTCATGACGAAATAAATATTTTGAATTTGAATTTGAATTTGAACTGCTGGAATTTGTGAAACATAAAAGGAAGCGATTATTGAAAGTGAGCTGCAACACAAAGATAAATCTTTTAAAGCACATATGATCATTGAACCAAAACACATTGCAGGAGCCTTTATTATCATTAACAAATCGCGATTTTATAGGAAGATATTGATTCACCAAATTTCAGATAATAGATGTGAATTTTTCGACTTTAGATTCGGTTGTCGTACTTTTTTCATGAACAATTGCGAAACATGTTGATTCCATATCATTGTAAAGTTTGAAAAAGCCGGTGTCTGTTATAAGTCTATAATAGATTTTCCTATGTACTTTCGGTTTATGTGATGAATTGAAAGTATAATCAAGCGATAAATGATCTGAATAACGAGTATCAAAAACATTAACGCTATTTTCTAAGTCTACGTAGATAATGAAGATGGTATCTAGACAACTTGAGTTACTTGTGTTTTGCCTAACTATTGGTATGAAACCATAACAACTAAATAAGTTCACCAGCTCATGAGCTTGGTGTTGAAACGTATTAAATACAGGATGTTTCAGAACTATGGGATCAAACTTGTAGGGGTTATTCAGTGTAACAGTAGAAAACATTTGAGTATAGGGACCCATATCAGGAAAAGTGTCACTACGGCACTACGCCCCTAAGACGCGTTAAAATTTAGAAAGACGATGAATTGTCTAAATAGGATTTAATTCATTTAATTTTTGCCTTTTGTACATGACATCATCACAATAATTGTTCAAAATGTCTTCCTGTAACCTGAATACACCGTTCCTATGGGGATATGTAAAGTCTTTGGTTTACGAAACTCCAGTAGAAACAGAGCAAGACTTAATTGGACAAATTACAGCAGCATTTGAAATCATTCAAAACGGGTATCAAATTTTTAAAGTCCGCCGAAATCATGTGCGACGTTTAAAATCGGTGTATCCAGGTTAGAGGAAGACATTTTGAACAATTGTTTTGATGATATCATGTACAAAAGGCAAAAATTAAATGCATTAAATCCTATTTATGCAATTCATCGTTTTTCTAAATTTTAACGCGTCTTAGGGCCGTAGTGCCGTAGTAACACTTTTCCGGATATGGGTTCCTATACTCAAATGTTTTAGTTCTTCTGACAGATTCAGAACGTTATCTGATAGAGGTACCACGAATTTTCACATCCCTACAGAAACTAGATACAGATCTAAAGTCAGAGATATGATAATAAGAGAACTCATCTTTTCTTAACCAGTATTCATGTATAGAGGGCATTCATTCTATATTTATTCTTTTCACACAGTGATTCGATATTCCTGACTTACAGCGAACACCTTGGATATTTAGATGTAATAGTCCTTATTGTTTTTTACTGTTTTAACAGATCCTGGTTCACGTATTGTATTATTCTGTTGTTCGCCTTCCTTAATGTTGATTTGTGCAGTTTTCAAAGGCACATTGTTCAAAAATAATATCCTTTACATTCTGGATGATTGCCATTTTTGATTCCGGAACTCTGAAATGAATAGTTTCTATTTGATTTCCTGAGTCTATCAACTTTATTGTTGATCATATTTCTAAGATGATAGTCGACAGATATGGTCAAGTCTTATAAAAAAATAAGATTGGTTACTCGACAGAGAGGTAAGAGAAAATGTAATCCTTTGAAGGATAGTAAGTTTTGTTTTGTTGTTTGTTGTTGTTAGAGTTAGTCATGAAGATTATAAAATCGTTCTCAACAAGAGATTTTGTGTTGTTAAATATGTTTTTAGTGATTTCTACAAACTCTAAATGTGGATAAACGTGAGCTTTGATGGACAACTTTGTCATGTCAATGAATAATTCTAACACTTTTCTGAAGTTTTTTGCGTATTCATCATCAATTACAAGGATTTTCCGACAGTTGTCTGAGGCATTACGTTGCGGTGGTCCACCTGATGGTACTATATCAATAATTGGTGCGTCATCGAATTTTATTGGAGCTTGTCTTGCAGATTCTGTTGCTACTCCGCCGTCTGACTGTGATGTAGGAGAAGCGATAGATGCACATTGGGCAAAAGTTAAAGCTGTTTGATGTTCGGTGAATTCATTTTCTATCGGCTGGATTTTACACATATCGTTTGTCTTCCCTTGGGATCTTGTGGCCCTAATATCATTGTCAACAGGTGACTCTTCCATCAAAAGTGAGGTTGTCAGCTCCTGCAGTGTACTGTTCTTTGAGGATAAGTATGCAAGTTGTTGCTCCATATTTTGTATTTGACGCTTGTAAGTTTGGATCTCGTCGTTATAATTTTTTTCAATTTCGATCACATCATCCATAAAAGCTAATGAGCGTTTCTTCATGGATGCGATATATTTATCCTTCTCTATAATCTCTTATAATAATAATAATAAGCGTTTATAATAATAAGCGTTTATTGCCCAACAGTTTAACACCATTTACAAAGCAAACTATAAAAAAAAGTCACCATGAGGTAGCTTGTGAAGAAAAAATACAATAATAATTACAAGTTCATGTATCAATAACAAAAAATAAATTTAGCTACAGCTTAAAAATAAGAAACGTAATATAAATCAATCTCAATCTCTTGTTGTAATTCTCTTATTATTTCTTTGGCAGTGTTATCCTTCTCCAGTTCTTCTTCACCTTTTCCTTGACAAGTCGTACTACAGTATATCATATGTTTGGCAATGACAATTACGTCATTTCTTTTGTTGCAGCAACTGCGATGGAGAATTTGTTTAGATGTTATGCACACATAGTTGGATAGCTCTTTTCATTTACAACATTCGAAATAATTCGGCATCTTCGTTTCTTGTATTGTATCGATAAGTAACTGTACAATGAAATATTGTACTGTGTCGTATTATTCGTTGTTCGATAACATGGGATCTTTACACAATTTCTTCCTATGTTTTTCAACACAAATTGACACACACAAAGCGCACACACGAAATATCCATCTTTATATTACATGGATATTTGTCAACTCTATAAGGTTATGTTGGAGTTGATACTGATTTGATTCTTCACCATCATCAGTCATAGATTTTGTAACGCTTCCTTTCCGCAAAAAGTCCAGAAAAGATGGAATGCAATGAAGATTCCAACTTTTCTGCACAATCACAGAAAGGGGGTTACAATTAGCTTCCGGTAGCTCAGTCGGTGGCATGAAGACATCTACAGGCGTGTAGCTGTGTGTCGACCATGGCATGGCTAGAGGATAGAAGAACAAACAGAACACAAAAATTTAACAGATTTTATTTAACAAAAAAAAGGCATTTTCATTACATTACAATTTTACAAAAATAACAAAATAAGTTTTACATCTTTGGCGCTGCCATAACGCTATCGACTTATCTTTCGCTGGTCCATTTTTACTCGACTGAAGCCAGGATGGCCAGGGGCTTGAAGGGGAGGTCCCAGTTATGAGGGGTGACCTCCATATAGTGGCTTCACAACCAGTTGAAGGCGAAGTTAAAGGCGATGGCGCTGCCAAGGTACATGCATGGGTGAAAATATTGGCCAAGGCTAGGCAAAGTGAAAGGGAAAGAGAAAGGGGGTGGCCCCAATCATTTTTGTCCTATACGGACACGCATTCTAGAAAATTCTAGCACATGGTGCTATATAACCTTGTGCTACTGAGAAGAAATTTCTAGCCGTTGTTCGATCGGCGGCTCAAGTGAAAAAGGAAGCGCGAGGAAGATCGCAGATCAGGAACTCCGCATCAAGCGCTCCAAGCGGAAAATTTTCCAAGCAAAAAAGCTAGAGATGGGATTAATGAAATGATAATCGAGAAGTAATTTAATAAATACGATCGGACGGTGAAACCGTTACAATTTCACAATCTACAGAATGAATGAGCTGGAAGAAAAGTCACGTTGAATACCGTCTACCGGAATAACATTTTCGGGTACATGTTAGTAAAATAAATAAAATTAGTATTATATGAATATTTAACAAAGCTTCACTTGAATACGTTCATTCCTGAAATCTGAAAGTGATATCTAGCAAACACAAAAGTAGCAAGCTTGCCTCGTTTTCCATAGCTCAGCAGAAACGCCAAAATCATAAGCCACAATTCCAAAATATATAGCTTTTAGGTTAGGTACAGGTATGTGTCACAGTTCCATTTCGCTGTTCGGAAATTGCTAATACAATCGAAAAGTTGAGTTCCCGAACACACGGATAGTAGAGGAATCTAAAAATGACAGGAAAAACAAAGCGCCACCGAAGATGGATAAATGAAATATATTGTCTAGAAAGTGTCAATTGTGTTTGAAGAAGGTCACTATTGATACTGAAACGTCGTACAATAAAGAGGAATTTAAAACATATTTATGTGGTTTGATTCGGCCAGACAAACATGGGGGTTATCACCATTGCAACTTTAAGATAGCACTGCATAAAAGCAGCAAAGCCCAGGTAGGTATTCTTGCTCTCAAAAGGACGTCCATACCTCCAAAGCGATAAGCGAACATGAGGTAAATGGTCATTTTTTAGGTTCGTACCTTCGGTCGTTCCTATAATAATTGTAGTACGCCTTTATGGCCTTCTGGATTCTCATAGTTTTCTACTGCTCCGTGTCAGCGCTCTATTTTCTGGTTATGTTACAAATATCTATGTGCATCAAATTGTTCATGCTTTTGATTCATACATCTGTTATATCAGCTTGAAAAATCGTACAATTCAAAAAGAAAACATAGGAGAGTGAGACATTAGAAATCTAGAAATAGCCCAGCCTGCCTAAAAGAGAGAAAAGACTATCAAAATCAGGGAGGTCATGATTGAAGAACCGACTGACGATATGGCTGTTAATGTACCGGGAACGTCAATAAAACGCCAAAAGTTGGTGCAAGTACTGAGAATTTTGTATTTGTTCCCACTTATATAAAAGTGACTGGTCTGTAAGTTCTAAATATAATCGAATCTTTTCAAAATGCTTGTATACAATCTAGGTTTGGCGTCAACAATCGCCAAAATCTGTCAAATTCTTTTAACGGAATTTCTTACTGCTCATCCATATAGACCCCTCCAAAAGATTAATATGGTATAACGTGATGATTAGTTGCTGAGCTATGAGCGATTTAATCTACAACAACGCCCCGTTGTTCTGAATGGTAGTGGATATTTAGCGTGGGTTATGACATTCCGTTAAAAAAATTCCCAACATGACATCCCGCCGCCATTTTGTAATTTTCAACCATCGCTGAACCTTAAAATATAGTATTGATGCATCAATTTGATCACAGCAATTTTTAGACTGGAAACTAAGCCGCTGAACTCACCGCCAGGCAAATCGGTCTAGCTGTTTAATCTAGCCATATTGAAGAGTTAAAACCGTATACACGGACCATACACTAAGTGAACGATAGCTCGCAACAGCGGTGCGGTGCTGGGCGTTGCCGGGCAGATGTAGAAAAAGGCAACGTTGCCAGATGGATTGTAACTACCGTAGGTCAGGGAAAGAATGTCAATGGACTAATTGTATGGGCCTGACCAACCGACTTTTTCCAGGGGACTTAGACTGCGCTGAACTTAATCCTTTATGAACTGATGGGGACGTTGCGCAGGATGTGCATAGTCGACCTACTTGACGCCATTTTCGGAAAATCAATGTCTATATCCAGCTATGTAGATGAACGTTCCATAAGCAAACAGCGGCTTGCCTAATGAGTGGTGTTAAAAAAAACGAAACTTCCCTTTATATCATATTTAGCCTGTGACCGTGACCTTGGCTATTTGCTCTTTCACATAAATGTTTCCGATTTGATAACGATCTTGTTCCCATTGGGTTAGTCGACGGTCGACGCGTCCCTTGTCACGAGGCATACATAAAATAAATCGATTGTCACTAACACACAGTCTCATAAAAAATCAACGGATATACATTAGGAATTCTCAAGATTCGTGCTCTGGGAGTATTCTCTCTATTTATCGACACGATACAATATCGACGTATTCTTTGGTATCTAAGGAGTTAATTATTTGAATCGGCCGTTTCAAATAAGTCACACAATTTGAGTTTTTCAAGAGACAATAAAAACTGTGTCACTGAAAAATAAACCAGCTTCAAAGAACCGTTATGGATTCAATATGGTATTTGAATTTCTAAAGATTGAAATATTTACATTACATCAATAATTAATAATGATGGAGAAAGCCCAAAAAGCTGTTTTGGGTTATGCTGCTTTCAGCATGGTCTAAACTTGGCCTCTTGTCTGTGGGACAACGAATGAATGCATGGCAATTATACACAATCAAAAGTATAAGATTTATCGAAATAAGATAGCGCAAAGCGCCATCTACCACAAGAATCGACCACTGCGAACAGTGACTGCCTTGGATAGAGGATAGGTGCTAGCTTTCGTTGGTTGTCCCAGAGACCAAGCCTAGATCATGCTTATTAGTCGGATGTCTATGGTTGACTCTCTTGGATCGGATGGACGAAAGCAGCATGTCTGGTTTGTTCAATGGCAAGTAGGCCACATATACTGCACAGCTAGAATCCTCGCTATCCAACGATGACTGGACCTCTAACTTGAGGGCTGAGATCTTTACAATCCCAACCGGTAGCTGCCATCTACTATTCGCAGTTGTCGATTCTAGTGGTAGATGCTGCTTCGCCCGATAGATCTTACACTTTTGTAGTGTAGTCATTCGTTCATTGTCTCAGAGACGAGAGACCAAGCATATACCAAGCGGGTCAGTAGCCAAAAAGCGCAAAGCAGCGGTCCATGGTTTGCTGTCTCTGACAGGACGTACGAAAGCAGCGTGTTTGATTTGTTGAATGGCAAAAAGGCCACATCTGCTACACACCTAGGATCGTCGCCATACAGGGATCACGTGGTGACTGGGCCTTCAATTTGCGGGCTAGCAACTATTCACTGTTCGCAGTGGACAATTCTTATGGGAGACGGCGCTCACACTGTTTCACTTCATGTTAATCGTATTATTTATATTTTTTTATTGATCGTTATTGAAAAATACACTCAGATATTTACTTAATAACATCAACATGTTCCGATTTTGCATGTTTCAATATCTTTGAGGGAAACTCGGGCAAAGGAAACACCATGGGAAAACTAACCAGTATGAAAGTTTCATATACTTATTCGTTCAATTTCTGTCAATAATCAGCAATC